CTTTATACCTCCGAACTCGAACTTACTGTATACTTCACACATCCTACAGAAAAAATATATATTTCATCATATGTGATAAATCACAGTTCTGCGTAAAGAAAACTCACGACTGTACGGCTCACCCTATACATCTGTAAATAGTTACTAGGGAAACTCACGACTGTACGGCTCACACTATACACCCGTAAATAGATACTAGGTAAACTCACGACTGTACGTCTCAACCTATACACCTGTAAATAGTTACTAGGTAAACGCACGACTGTACGGCTGACCCTATACACCTGTAAATAGTTACTAGGTAACCTCACGACTGTACGGCTCACCCTATACACATGTAAATAGTTACTAGGTAAACTCACGACTGTACGCCTCACCCTATACACCTGTAAATAGTTACTAGGCAAACTCACGACTGTACGGCTCACCCTATACACCTGGAAATAGTTACTAGGTAAACTCACGACTGTACGGCTCGCCCTATACACCTGTAAATAGTTACTAGGTAACCTCACGACTGTACGGCTCACCCTATACACCTGGAAATAGTTACTAGGTAAACTCACGACTGTACGTCTCAACCTATACACCTGTAAGTAGTTACTAGGTAAACTCACGACTGTACGGCTCTCCCTATACACCTGTAAATAGTTACTACTTAAACTCACGACTGTACGTCTCACCCTATACACCTGTAAATAGTTACTAGGTAAACTCATGACTGTACGGCTCACCCTATACTCCTGTAAATAGTTACTAGGTAAACTCACGACTGTACGGCTCACCCTATACGCCTGTAAATAGATACTAGGTAAACTCACGACTGTACGGCTCACCCTATACGCCTGTAAATAGATACTAGGTAAACTCACGACTGTACGGCTCACACTATACACCCGTAAATAGTTACTAGGTAAACTCACGACTGGACGTCTCACCCTATACACCTGTAAATAGTTACTAGGTAAACGCACGACTGTACGGCTGACCCTATACACCTGTAAATAGTTACTAGGTAACCTCACGACTGTACGGCTCACCCTATACACCTGGAAATAGTTACTAGGTAAACTCACGACTGTACGTCTCAACCTATACACCTGTAAATAGTTACTAGGTAAACTAACGGCTGTACGGCTCACCCTATACTCCTGTAAATAGTTACTAGGTAAACTCACGACTGTACGGCTCTCCCTATACATCTGTAAATAGTTACTAGGTAACCTCACGACTGTACGGCTCACCCTATACATCTCTAAATAGTTACTAGGTAAACTCACGACTGTACGGCTCTCCCTATACACCTGTAAATAGTTACTACTTAAACTCACGACTGTACGTCTCACCCTATACACCTGTAAATAGTTACTAGGTAAACTCACGACTGTACGGCTCACACTATACACCCGTAAATAGTTACTAGGTAAACTCACGACTGTACGGCTCACCCTATACACCCGTAAATAGTTACTAGGTAAACTCACGACTGTACGGCTCGCCCTATACACCTGTAAATAGTTACTAGGTAACCTCACGACTGTACGGCTCACCCTATACACCTGTAATTAGTTACTAGGTAAACTCACGACTGTACGGCTCTCCCTATACACCTGTAAATAGTTACTAGGTAAACTCAAGACTGTACGTCTCACCCTATACACCTGTAAATAGTTACTAGGTAAACGCACGACTGTACGGCTGACCCTATACACCTGTAAATAGTTACTAGGTAAACTCACGACTGTACGGGTCACCCTATACACCTGTAAATAGGTACTAGGTAAACTCACGACTGTACGGCTGACCCTATACACCTGTGAATAGTTACTAGGTAAACGCACGACTGTACGGCTGACCCTATACACCTGTAAATAGTTCCTAGGTAAACGCACGACTGTACGGTTGACCCTATACACCTGTAAATAGTTATTAGGTAAACTCACGGCTGTACGGCTCACCCTATAGACCTGTAAATAGTTACTAGGTAAACCCACGACTGTACGGCTCACCCTATACACCTGTAAATAGTTACTAGGTAAACTCGCAAGTACACCGTAGTTTCAACAGATATTGGTGATGACGGGGATGTTTTGGAAAGTCTTGTGCAAAATGCGTGAAAGAAAAAAATACCATTACATGTATATTCCATCATAAAGTACTCGTCACTGGAGCGGAGTTATCTCCCCTTCCCACGCCGGTTCTCAGTGATTTGATCAGGGTTTTTCAATAAAAGAAGGAGCTGATGTTTAGGACTCGCACAGCCAATGAGCAAGTGTTTGATGCGATTGTAATCCCTATTTAAAATGTGTTCCGGGTTAATACAGTGCCTCTGATTAATTTAAAGAGGTAATTGTTGACATATTTTACATTGCATGAAATCTACAGATATTGAACTTTAGAAAAAAAATATAGTTTTAGTAGATTTTAAAATGTGATGGCGGATTGATATGGGGTCAAATGCTAGGGGGTTGTATCCGCATTATCACTAATAATTTTCACCAGATTTTATAGGGAGAGATACAGTGTAATTATACATTTTGTATATGAGAAACACTGACAGTATCAACTTATTTTGACCAAGCAAGACTGCAGAGGTATAAAGAATAAACCTAGTACAAGTCAATACATGATGCTGCTGACACTGTTGTTAGGTCAGCTGTATAAACGTTTATATATACACGCATGATAATGAGGACACACTCCAAAACGAATTAATTGAAAATATTCGGTTAATCACTTTCTTAAACCCTCAAAATTAAGAGAGGTTCTGTCTAAACCCATTCGACAAGATCTGCATATTTTTTCAGTTATCTTGTACACAAACCCTTTCTGGCACAATACTATTATAAACTTCTGGGCTACGTCCATCCGCTTAAAGCTGCCACTGCAATGTTTTTAATGATGATTATTTGGGTGATATCGTTTTATGGAAACTTTTTATTATACCGTGTGTTAGCTGTTGTTTTTGTAGTTGTTGCTATTGTTTATATAAATATAGTTCATCTTTGTAAGTTTGAATTCCTTAAAAGTAACATGATTATGTGCTTATTCATTAATACATTCATATGGCACAATTTGGTGGCAATTTTAATTCACTTGTTGGTTCGAGTTTTCTTGCTATGAGTGTAGAAGAATATTTAAGTACATAATATAAGTATTATAAGTCTCTAAATAAAAAAAATATTTACCAAAATCACGTCTGATATTTTCTAATATCAACCAAATAACTAAGTAATATGCGTGAAGAATTGTCACTACAACGTGAAGAATTGTCACTACAACGTGAGGAATTGTCACTACAACGTGAAGAATTGTACGTGATTACCTAATTTTAAACGTGAGAAATAAAACAAGTGATAACTACATAAAGAATAAGACGATGTTTTTGTTTTGGTAGTATGTAATTTAACTCAGGTGAATGGTCCTTTTGTGAATTAGATATATTTAAAACTATCTGAAAAACCTTAAGTATCCATAAAAATACACCATTATCTCAATGAAGCAATTTGTGAATATTCCATTTCCCGTTGCCGACAAGTGCATCACGATCGGTCAACAACAAGGTGATGCTAATTCATATAATTATAGGTGATGTAATGAGCTCAATTGTCAAACAGACATTGGCAAGCAGTGAACATTGTATACTGATAGCAACTTGTATGTATTACAAAACCAAATGAATGCACTTCGAAACCTCGGGAAAGTCGACAGCAATCAATAACGTTCAGTTTTCTATGTGTTAGTTACTTAGCATTATCCCTCAAGTTTTATCGAAACAAATACTGAAATGTCCCACTTATACCGATAATTGTTTTTCACATTAGCTTTAAATCATATCATGACAACTACGCAATACAATATATGTCCCGTACACCGGCTGTCCTCGCACTCGCCTGTCCGTACAACAGCAACGTACGAATCATTATCTGTAAGTGCATATACCGGTACACTTTTCTAAAATTAGTAACTTATCCATTCGCGTAATATTATTATTTTATCGTTCTTAGTCCTATCCGGATACACACAACCGTCAACACACTATTACTAACGCCGCATACAAACTTTCCGGAATCCGCCACCCGGCACACCGTTTTTTCGTTATCTAGCCCGAGTGTCAATAGCCACTCCGTAGAATAAAACACGTGATCACCTATATTGTACGGGAGGAATAAAGCACGTGATCACCTAATCATGTTGTACGAGTGGAAAATGATCACTGTATAATTATTTTCTTTATTTCCTCCAAAATGAAGAGTACGTAATCAGTTCGTTTGTAGGTATGATTGATGACAAATACATCAACTGTTTTACATTATAGACACGGAGTCTCGTTGGTTTATTTCAAACTCATTACTATAATAAAAATCACCATGCTGGTATACTTATCTGAGCCGTATAGTCTATTGTGAAAATACTTAAAAGTATAGACGCAGTTAAAATCTTTAAATCGTTATAATCTTAAATCAAAAACTAAAACCGTCTAATCACAATAATACATTTGAAAAGATAAAAAAACGATCTTCTGGCCATAAAGAAATCGTTTATGTTAAGATATTAGACATCTACATGTAAAACTCATTTACGGCTTTCACTTTCCTTTTTTATGTTTACATATATCTAAAAATGACAATTAAGTAGGAACCAATATGCGCTCATGAATAATTTAAATTTTCCAGAGTGATGAAATTAAGTTACCTGTATATTTGTTGCATTTTACCAGGCATTTTTATTAAATAATGACTATAGTAATTATCGTTCTGTTACGTTAATTTTTTCTGTAACGACAAAAGAAAAAAGAAGCATAAAAAATACCTTAAAATGCGCATGTCTTTCTTCTGTAATTGACTATATGGTTAATGTAAAATTACCATGTATAGTCATTCATAATTGGAAATATGAATAATGAAAAACGGTCTATAAGTTATTAATACATTGAAGATATACCTTTCAGTCCACACAGGTATATATACACCTATACGTACCCGTCTCTCTAAGCAACCAGTGTCAACAACATGGCCGCCAGATCGATAATTTTGCATTAACGATCTGCCCTCCCTGTGAGTGATCTACCTGGGCACATCGACGGCGATGTGTTAAGGCTTAGGATTATCATACCGTCATGGATTAGCAAGTACAGACGGCTGTTCCAGTGTCCGGAGAGGAAATGGTCACTTAGACATTGAGTTGTAATTGGTGTCAAACTACAAAAATATAATTTAACAATGACAAACAGATCTACTCGTATCCGGAGCGGGAAGAAGCGAGGGATCCGACTTGTGGATCTGGAGTTCCAAGGTGGCATCCAAGAAAAGGAGAATATCGAAAATGGCAGACGACCTCATGGAGGATATAACGGTATGCAATGTATATATACATATGTCCATTAAGTAGTTCTGCTCGGTAAACTTTATACCTGTGTGAGATTTAACACATGTAGTCAGTCTCAACCTGTACATTAAATAGATCGGCGTTATATGAAACGTATACTCGCCATTTAATTGTGACAGACGGATATATGGAGTGTGCACAGGATACCGATATACACCTTCAGTAGTACTTACTGTGTACTTCAGGTATATACGACATTGTATATACCTGGCCCAGCCATTAGTACCGGGTATTACAAACACCTTGATCGGATTCCCCTGCACACGACTACCGGCGTTATACTTCCCTTGAACACACGACTATAATAATACTACCCCATTTAAAAGTCAGTATTACCAATGTCTTCTTTGTTCCACTTGTAGAAATCCCGAGTTTAAAACTTTATGTTGTTGCCTACAGTATACAGATGTTAACAAAGGTTTTATTTAAGCTTTGAATTATCCGTGCTTTATTATCAGTCAGTTATCATATATATTACGAACAATAGTACACTACAAAACGTATTTAGTTGAGTGTTTTATAAACACATTCTCCCTCGGCGTTTAATGGTACAAGTCTTTCTACAGTAAGAGAAACAAGTTAGGATACGACTGTTAATACGTGTAAGACATGGTTTGGATGGCAGAGCCCCGACTTTTGTTAATATGTCGTATTAACCCTGTTTTTTCACTAGTAGATATTACAGCAAAGTTTCCTTGCTTATTTCTTTTCCCCTTTATAGGGCCAAGTTTTGATAAGAATATTACACGTACATTTAACATGAAACGTGAAAGTTGAAACCTTTAGATACAACATTCTAATGTTATTAATGATGTATCTGATAATGGAGGCATTTAAATGAGTCACCGCAGTACAACATATACCTGTCGCCATAACGCGAACTGTTTCTTTATGTTTTATATTGGAATTATTGACAGCGTTTCACTGATTAATCATGTTCTTTGACAAGATGTCTCCTCTGAAATAACGTGGAGCTCGAGCCGAGGTCGACCTTGTGCGCTATCAAAAAAATGTCTTTGTACCCACGTAACGTTTAAGTTTTATTCCCTGATGAATAATGAGTTGTACATAAATACACGACACATAGGTCAGGTAAAGCTATACTGTTGAAATGTTTATACTACTTCACACGTTAAACCTGTGATTTGTGTGAGGGTTAAGGATATATACTACATCAAACATAATACCTCTGGTGTGTGTTAAAATTAAAGATGTATCCTACCGTACACAATATACCTGTGATTTGTGTTAGAGTTAAGGATATACCATACCTTACACATCATACCAGTGATTTGTGTTAGAGTTACAGATATATACTACCTTACACAATATATACCTGTGACTTGTGTTAGAGTTAAGGATATATACGACCTTACACAATATACCTGTGATTTGTGTTAGAGTTAAGGATAAATACTACCTTACACAATATATACCTGTGATTTGGGTTAGAGTTAAGGATATACCCTACCTTACACATCATACCAGTGATTTGTGTTAGAGTTAAAGATATATACTTCCTTACACAATATATACCTGTGATTTGTGTTAGAGGTAAGGATATATACTACCTTACACAATATATACCTGTTATTTGTGTTAGAGTTAAGGATATAACCTACCTAACATATCATACCTGTGATTTGTGTTAGAGTTAAGGATATAACCTACCTAACATATCATACCTGTGATTTGGGTTAGAGTTAAGGATATACCCTACCTTACACATAATCCCTGTGATTTGTGTTAGAGTTAAGGATATATACTACCTTACAAAATATACCTGTGATTTGTGTTAGAGTTAAGGATATGCCCTACCTTTCACATCATACCTGTGATTTGTGTTAGAGTTAAGGATATACCCTACCCTACACATCATACCAGTGATTTGTGTTAGAGTTAAAGATATATACTACCTTACACAATATATACCTGTGACTTGTGTTGGAGTTAAGGATATATACTACCTTACACAATATAAACCTGTGATTTGTGTTAGAGTTAAGGATATATACTTCCTTACTCAATATATACCTGTGATTTGTGTTAGAGTTAAGGATAAATACTAGCTTACACAATATATACCTGTGATTTGTGTTAGAGGTAAGGATATATACTACCTTACACGTTAAGCCTGTGATTTGTGTGAGGGTTAAGGATATATACTACATCAAACATAATACCTCTGGTGTGTGTTAAAATTAAAGATGTATCCTACCGTACACAATATACCTGTGATTTGTGTTAGAGTTAAGGATAAATACTAGCTTACACAATATATACCTGTGATTTGTGTTAGAGTTATGATATACCCTACCTTACACATCATACCTGTGATTTGTGTTGGAGTTAAGGATATATACTACCTTACACAATATAAACCTGTGATTTGTGTTAGAGTTAAGGATATATACTACATTAAACATAATACCTCTGGTGTGTTAAAATTAAAGATGTATACTACCGTACACATTATACCTGTGATTTGTGTTAGAGTTAAGGATATGCCCTACCTTTCACATCATACCTGTGATTTGTGTTAGAGTTAAGGATATAACCTACCTAACACATCATACCTGTGATTTGTGTTAAAATTAAAGATGTATACTACCGTACACATTATACCTGTGATTTGTGTTAGAGTTAAGGATATATACTTCCTTACTCAATATATACCTGTGATTTGTGTTAGAGTTAAGGAGAAATACTACCTTACACAATATATACCTGTGATTTGTGTTAGAGTGAAGGATATATACTACCTTACACAATATATACCTATGATTTGTGTTAGAGTTAAGGATATAACCTACCTAACATATCATACCTGTGATTTGGGTTAGAGTTAAGGATATACCCTACCTTACACATTATATACTACATTAAACATAATACCTCTGGTGTGTTAAAATTAAAGATGTATACTACCGTACACATTATACCTGTGATTTGTGTTAGAGTTAAGGATATGCCCTACCTTTCACATCATACCTGTGATTTGTGTTAGAGTTAAGGATATATACTACCTAACACAGTTAAGGATATATACTACCTTACACGTTAAACCTGTGATTTATGTGAGGGTTAAGGATATATACTACATTAAACATAATACCTCTGGTGTGTGTTAAAATTAAAGATGTATACTACCGTACACAATATACCTGTGATTTGTGTTAGAGTTAAGGATATGCCCTACCTTTCACATCATACCTGTGATTTGTGTTAGAGTTAAGGATATAACCTACCTAACACATCATACCTGTGATTTGTGTTAAAATTAAAGATGTATACTACCGTACACATTATACCTGTGATTTGTGTTAGAGTTAAGGATATGCCCTACCTTTCACATCATACCTGTGATTTGTGTTAGAGTTAAGGATATACCATACCTTACACATCATACCAGTGATTTGTGTTAGAGTTACAGATATATACTACCTTACACAATATATACCTGTGATTTGGGTTAGAGTTAAGGATATACCCTACCTTACACATCATACCTGTGATTTGTGTAAGAGTTAAGGATATATACTACCTTATACAATATACCTGTGATTTGTGTTAGAGTTAAGGATATACCCTACCTTACACATCATACCAGTGATTTGTGTTAGAGTTAAAGATATATACTACCTTACACAATATATACCTGTGATTTGTGTTAGAGTTAAGGATATTTGCTACCTTTCGCAATGCAATAAAACATAGTCGATATCCGTAATAGTTTTTACCTTACACAATATACCTGTGATTTGTGTTACAGTTAAGGATATATACTACCTTACACAATATACCTGTGATTTGTGTTAGAGTTATGGATATATACTACCTTACACATTATACCTGTGATTTGTGGTAGAGTTAAGGATATATACTACCTTATACATTATACCTGTGATTTGTGGTAGAGTTAAGGATATATCCTACCTAACACATCATACCTGTGATTTGTGTTAGAGTTAAGGACATATACTACCTAACACATCATACCTGTGATTTGGGTTAGAGTTAAGGATATATACTACCTAACACATTATACCTGTGATTTGTGGTAGAGTTAAGGATATATACTATCTTACGCATTTTGCCTGAGATTTGAGTAAGAGTAAAGATTCTATGATACTTACAAATGATAACTGTGATTTGTGTTAGAGTAAAGATTATATGATACTTACAAAGGATAAGTGATTTGTGTAAGTGATACTTACAAATGAGAACCTTGATTTGTGTAAGGGATACTTTAAAAAAAAATAACTGTGATCTTACAAATGATAACTGTGATTTGTGTAAGTGATACTTACAAATGATAACTGTGATACTTACAAATAATAACTGTGATTTTTGTAAGTGATACTAACAAATGATAACTGTGATTTGTGTAGGGAATACTTACAAATGATAACTGTGATTTGTGTAAGGGATACTTACAAATGATAACTGTGATTTGTGTAGGGAATACTTACAAATGGTAATTGTGATACTTACAAATAATAACTGTGATTTGTGTAAGTGATACGAACAAATGATAACTGTGATTTGTGTAGGGAATACTTACAAATGATAACTGTTATACTTACAAAGTGTAACTGTGATTTGTGTTAGTGATACTTACAAATGATAACTGTGATGCTTACAAAGTGTAACTGTGATTTGTGTTAGTGATACTTACAAATGATAACTGTGATTTGTGTAAGTGATACTTACAAATGATAACTGTGATTTGTGTAGAGAATACTTACAACTGATAACTGTGATACTTACAAATGGTAACTGTGATTTGTGTAGGGAATACTTACAAATGATAACTGTGATACTTACAAAGTGTAACTGTGATTTGTGTAAGTGATACTTACAAATGATAACTGTGATACTTACAAATGATAACTGTGATTTGTGTAGGGAATACTTACAAATGATAACTGTGATACTTACAAATAATAACTGTGATTTGTGTAAGG